GTTGGTTGAAAAGGGATTAAAGTAAACTCAACAAAGGTGGCATAATTAGCCATATGTGTGTCTCGATCGAGGAGGGAAAATTCCATTTCTTAGACACAAAGAGCCCTTTTCTTTTCAAAAAGAGGTTCAGGAACCAAATGACTAAGCCCAAATTGGAGAGAAACAAATTTGGGTTGGTAAGCAAGCATGGTAATGTGACTTTTTATTGGCATAAGTCTTGTGACAATTAACCTTGGAAACAAAAAGGCTTTCCAGATGTCCAGAGTTTCCATCTCTTGAGAAAATACAATTTCAGAAATGGGTTTCGTAAACCATGCTGGACCATGGGTTCGTTTAGAAAAAGGAGCCCTGGAGGGAGTAAAGTTATGATGTTTTATGAACATCATAGCATATTTGGTGAAACACTCTTCTAAGCTTTTTCCATCATCATTGGGTGTCAGTCGAACTAACCTAGTTTCTTCGATAGTTCGATTGCAAATTTCAGGATCTATTTCGTCCACTGTTCCAGAAGTGGAGAGAGAGGGTTTAAATGTGGCGTTTAACCACAATTGGAGAAGCCAATATGGGCCAGCTAGTAAAAGATTAGTGCCTTCTTGGTACTCTTTTAAATATGTAGTTACTTCACCCATAATCTCATATAATCCATCTAGAATTAATTCACTAAGGTATATATTTTGACCTGAGTGGAGTTGATTGGCTAAAGTTAAGAATCTCCTGGCAACTTGGATAGATTTACTGCACAAAATACACCTAGATAACCATAGGGCAAGAAAGGCTATGTGTTCTTCATCTGATACTTCATTTACTTTAGTATGATAATAATTAATATACTTGGTGAAGCCAGCATGTTCGACTTTAAAGTTGATGGTGTTTTCAGATTGAACAGAGGGGGTCAAAATCTTCCCTAGTGGGTCGAAACACAGTGGTTGCAGCCACATCGAATAGAGTGGGGGTAACCATTCCGCAAGGAATATGAAAGGTGTTGTGAGTATTTTCCCATAAATATAGAGATTCCATCAACATGTGTTAGCAATAGCTAGGACCAACCTTCAACAGTTGAATTAAATCAAAGATACCAATGTCCTTCCAGAATTGGGATATCTGTTTTTCGATTTTAGCTAACTAGTCAAGATATTGCTTACTATCTTTTGCTGGACAAGGCCTAAATGGCTTAAAAAGTTCAATCATGTAATTTAGGTGAAAGGGTTTTCCATATCAGCATAACCTGAAGGGGTTCCCTCTTGATGAATTTCTATGCTAGATTCTTTAGAATCTTTATCAACCTTCTTACCTACATTTTTTTAGGCCTAAGTTTACTAGCTATGGGACTAGTTCTATGATATGTAGGAAACAATTCCTTGAAATTTTCTAACTCACCAACATGAACTAGAGGACCCATATACCCTAAGGTTTTATCAGCAAGAGTAAAGGGGATAATTACCTGAGATGCATAGATCGCTCTTTGTTCTGCATAAAGTATGGGTGTTGGCACAAATTCTTGATTTCCAACCATAATGGGTTTTGATGCATGACCAATGGGTTTGGATGCAACATCTTTGTTCTTCACGTCCTTGCTAGCCTTAGTACTTTTCTTTGTGGGTTCCGTTGATGAAGAAGTTTGAAGGTTTGAAGAAAGAGCAAGAAACATTCACAAATGTTCAGAAAACTAATGGAAGTTGAAAAAGTGTTTTCTGAGGTTAAGAGAAGGTATTTATAAGAGAAAACATTTCAGTTTTCATTTTCTAGATGAATTATAGTGGGACGCGTGTCAACTTTCTATAAGCTAAGAAAGTGGTTACGTTTTGGGAAGCCACAATTTCTGCCTACATTAGTATGGTAATGATGAAACTGCATAAGCGCACGTCTCGATGGGACGTTTGAAGGAAATAATCATTATGACCATGATGTCATGACCAATAATGATTATCATGAGACAACTGTATTGAAATATGAGGCTATTTAAAAATTGTCTATTTCTTCAGATATTTCAAAATACAACAATTTTGGGGGACAATTTGTTAGCTGGAAATTTCAATAATAGAGTATAAAGGGTCAAAAGTTGAAGACTAAGTTATTATTGAAAAACATGTCTTGTAAAAGCTTCGACTGATTATTTCTAAGGGGACGGTCAAAGGAGCCTTTATGTTGAAGAGTTCTAAGTATGTTTGAAGTTTGAATTCGAATATATATGTTAAAGTTTTGGCGCTCTTCGCAGGTAGAAGAATTTGAAAATTCAAGTCTGTGATCTTATCCAGAAGACACATGAAAGTCTACTAGTTCGAAGGATTTGCATGTCATGAACGTGGCATTTAGATATAGAATGACTGTTGTGATCGAATTAGTATATATAAGGGTCTTAGAAATAGGATTTATGTGTTCATTCATTTTGTATATAATCTCACATAAACTCGAAGTATCTGCGTATTGAGAAAAAAGTCATTTGAGAAATGTACGTGTAAACACCATCTCTTATTTAATACAAGTTACTTTTCCAGAATTTACTTTTAGAAATTTACTTTCAATTACCTTTATTGCACTTTCTTTACAAGTTTCCTTGAGTTTACTTTGAAGATTCACTTAGATCGAAACCAATATTGTCAAAGAAATATGAATAATGTCGAAGTATTCTTCGTCTTCAAGAATAAAAGGTAAAATTAGAACACATGTCCCAGGATCAATTTAGTTGATCCTTCAAGTAATAACTAAAGAATTTTTGTTATTTTTAGAAGACTAACGCTTGTTTACCAATTTTCACGGTAAACAAATTGGCACGCCCAGTGGGATCCGTATTCAATTAACAAATATTTTTGTTCTTGTGATTTTTTTTTTGAAAATGTTCATTATTTTCTTGTATTTTACTTCGTTGCATGAGACTTAGAAGTGGTAAATTAGCCACAAACAACAAGGAAATACCTAAGAGAAAATATGTTAGAAAAATGGCAAACCAAAGTCATCCAGGTAATCAAAATCCTCCTAACAATGATGAAGTACCACCCCAGTCACTTCGACAGGGGGAACTACGGTTTCTGCGCCTTTTTCAGAGGCTATACTGTCTTCAACAAGTTCAACGCCAATGCAGTCAAACACTCATACTGGCCCTATTTTGACCTATATAAGACCACCGGGTCAACAAGGGACCCCTCCTCCAGGGGGAAATACTTTCCATAGGCCTCAAGGGCCTCTTGGTTTTTTTATGCCTCTAAATGCTCGTGAACGGTCTTATGGCATGCCATCATCGTTTATGGTAGGTTTGCATAATTCTACTTCAACTTATTAAGATCCAATAATGAACATCACTTCACCATTACAAGGTTCTTGGTCTGCTGTAAATAATGTGGGTCGAATTATCCAATCCCACGGAGAAAGAGTTTCCTCCCAAATACCAAACTTGGCAAATCACTCTACGATAATGATTAGGCAGCAAATGGACGAAAGTAACCATGAAATGGTCCAAATGCTTGCACAAACAATGAGTATAATTTTTAACTGTTTGATTTAAAACACCACTTAAGCGAACCAACAAATAGAAGTGCAAATGACATGTATTGCTGAATTTTTTGGTTCTACCACGTCCTTAGAGGGAATGAGTTAGGGAAAATCAAGGGGTAATCTTTGAAGAAGACCCAACGATTAACCAGGTTCAACATAATCAAAGAAATACATCTCATGCGAATATGGCAAATCAGAAGGGAGGGGGGGGGGGGGGGGGGGGGGGGCAGTCAAAATACCTAGAATTGTGAATATCGAAATACCTAGAACCGAACCTCTTAGACAGGAACCACAAATTCTAAGCGAACCAGAACCTAGGGTTAATGTGGTGAATAGAAACCAAAATGTTGATTTGGTTGTTTTCAAATTATTTTATTTTTTCTCTAGGTTATTTTGGTACTCAAAATACTTCTCATGCGATTGTTAGACTACACAGCTCCCTCTCAAGAGAGTTAGCGTGCATAACAATGAGTTCGAACTCAAAATTTGGTTAAGCTGAAGGATACCCTTACTATCTCATCTAAATTTCCATGGGTTAGTGTTAAAATATTTTATTTAATATTAGTAAATTAATTCAAATATTTTTAGATAAAAAATATTTAACTCTAACATTTAGAAAAAAAGAGTGTATTATTAATCTTATTAAGGCACATCTTACCGTTAATCTATGATACATATTTTAAATATTTTATATTAAAGTTGAAAAGGTCAAAATTATTTTCTTCTTTTTTTAATAGAATGATTTCTTCTTTATCAATTAATCATTTTTTTAGATAATAGAAAATGTTTTCTTCTTTATCAATTAATCATTCAATCAAATGTTTTGAATGCATGGTTTTCTCAATTGTTTCCATCTTTACTAAAATGATATTAAAGTATATAATGATATATGTAAATAATTACTATATAATGGATATCAATCAAGCTCTTAATAAGTCATAAGATATATATCATATACCTATAATAATGGATATGCTCTAGCTGTTTTTTAAGTACATTGGACTCTCTATAAGATCATGAATTTCCTAAAGCAACATTTTTGCGGCACAACAATTCCTTTTATATATTTCATGTTAACTAATTTTCTTCATTGAAAGAACAAATACCTAACATAAGTGCAACCTAAGCAAGTTTGCATAAATGAAAATCCTTTATTTCTCTTAAGCACTTACACATGCTTCTTTCCACATGTGACAAGTTACATAAATTATAAAAATACACGCAAGAAATTTGTTGCATTGACCAACATACATATCTATTACTTTCAATTTTCAACTCATAATAAATTTTATATTAATTTTTTTACTAATTGTTTACAATCTCTTTTTGGTTTTGAATTTGGAAATTGACTTGTTCAACTTGGCATATCCCTATAAATTACCCAACATTCTCTCCCATTTTCCACACACTTATTATTCTAACAAAGGTAGCTTATTAACCCACCTTATTTCAACTAGCTCAAATTAGAGTGACCTTAATAATATTTTACACCTTCAAGAAAAGTACTAAACATGGGAAGTGAGAGTTATCAACTTTTGTCCAAGATTGCAACCAATGATCAGCATGGAGAAAATTCTCCATACTTTGATGGATGGAAAGCTTATGAGAGAAATCCATTTCATCCCACAAAAAATCCTCATGGTGTAATCCAAATGGGTCTTGCTGAAAATCAGGTATATATATATATATAGAATAAATATATTATATTACAAACCCTCATAGTTCATTATTATTTTTAATATAATTAATTAATTAATTAATTAATTTGTTTATTATTTTCAGCTTTGTTTTGATCTGATTGAAGAATGGATAAAAAATAATTCCAAGGCTTCAATTTGCACTCTTGAAGGAATGCATAAATTCAGAGAAATTGCAAACTTTCAAGACTATCATGGGTTGCCAGAGTTTACAAGTGTAAGTAAAACCATTTTTTTCTTTCAATAATAATATGATTAACCATATTTTTCAATATTGATTATACTAAATTATAATTGTTATATGTTTTTAAGGCTATGGCAAAATTTATGTCAAAAGTGAGAGGTGGAAGAGTAAGATTTGATCCAAACCGTATATTGATGAGTGGAGGGGCAACAGGAGCAAATGAAATGATAATGTTTTGCTTGGCAGATCCAGGAGATGCTTTTTTAGTTCCTACTCCTTACTATCCAGGGTATGTACCCTTCTCTCTTTTCATAATTTGTGTGTTATTCATTGTATAATGTTCAAAAATGGAAACAAAAAACAGGTATAGAAAAAGTTATATTTATAGCTACTATGTTTTGGCTTAAACTATTTAAATTGAGATTTGCCAATCTATATAAATATTTAAAGTTAATTTTTTTATATGAGACTTGAGGAGACTCACTACATGCATGAAATTTCCATATCTTTATTAATGCATGTGCACCTAAAAAAAAAAAATTACTAATATATTGTAGATTTGTTATAAATCACACTCTTCTTAATTTGTAGTTGTATTATATTAGTTCATGTTTGTCTTCAAGTAAACTAGGAAGTTAATTTTGTTTACCTCTCCTTATATAAAAATAAAATAAAATATTGTTTAGCTTTCTATCTAAGTGAGGTGTCACCCTATAGTTCCTCATTTATATTCTCCACATTTTTGATATGGTAATATCACTAATCCAATAGAATATAAAATGAACACAAAAGTTCAAAGATGACATGGTAAGTTAGGTCAAGCTCATGAGTCTTTAAAAAATAAACAAAGAAGAATAATTAATTATAATTAGTTTTTCAATGGTGTAATTAGTCAAGAAGTGTGTGTTTGCTCCAAAAATAGATACTTGATGACTCGTAGCTAAGTAATAATTGATTAACCATTGACTTTAATTTAAAAACAAAAATCATATGGACAAAAGAAATGTAGGAGAGAGATAGAGAGAGAGAATAAATAGAAAGTGAAAAGCTTGACCATTGAAGAATCGTAAGAAAGGAATATGTCATAAAGGTTTGAAAGTGATATATGAGAGAGTATGGTTTACACTCAAAACCATAAACAACTTTCTATGTAGGGTCACTTTGTATTAAAAGAGAAAATAAAATAAGGAAAAATAAGCCATAAATTTGTTTAATATGGATTTGTCAAAAATAAAATTCAAACCCTTATAATATTTAGTAAAAATTGAATTTTATAATATTAAAAACAATTTTATTAAAATTTATTAAAGATAATTAGTTTTATTCTAAATCATTTTAATATACTATAGTTTTATTCCGAATTATTTGAATAATACTAAAATTTATTAAAAATAATTAGTTTTATTCTTGATAATTAGACATATTATTAAGTTAGTGATTGTGATGAATCTAACTCATTTTTAATATAGGTTCGTTCGTGACTTATGTTGGAGAACTAAGGTTCAATTAATTCCTGTTCATTGTGATAGCTCGAACAATTTCAAGATAACAAGAGAAGCACTTGAAGTAGCATATTCCAAAGCAAAAAAAGACAAGATGAATGTAAAAGGTTTGATCATAACAAACCCTTCCAATCCATTAGGCACAACCCTAGACAAAGAAACCCTAAAGAGTATTGTTACATTCATCAATGAGAAAACAATCCATTTAGTTTGTGATGAAATCTATGCAGCCACAGTTTTCAGTTCACCAACCTATGTAAGTGTTAGTGAAGTCATACAAGAAATGAAGTGCAACCTTGATCTCATTCACATTATTTATAGCTTATCAAAGGATTTAGGGTTCCCCGGTTTTAGGGTTGGGATAGTTTATTCATACAATGATCAAGTTGTGAATTGTGGAAGGAAAATGTCGAGTTTCGGATTAGTTTCATCTCAAACTCAACACATGCTTGCTTCAATGCTTTGTGATGAAAAATTTGTTGATAAGTTTCTCTTGGAGAGTTCGAGAAGGTTGTCGAAAAGGCATGAGAAATTTACAAAGGGACTCGAAGAGGTTAAGATTAGTCGATTTCCAAGTAATGCGGGACTATTTTGTTGGATGAACTTGAAGAGTTTGCTTAAGGAGGAAACAATAGAAGAAGAGTTGAAGCTTTGGCATGTGATTATTAATGAGGTTAAGCTTAATGTATCGCCGGGATCTTCTTTTAATTGCTTTGAAGTTGGTTGGTTTAGGGTTTGTTTTGCTAATATTGATGATGAAACTGTGGAAGTTGCATTGAAAAGAATAAGAGTCTTTATAGGGAAAGAAACAAAGAAGAAAGTTGAACAAGTCAAACGTTGGCAACCAAATTTAAGGCTTAGTTTCACTTCAAGGAGATTTGATGAGAATGTTTTGTCACCTCATAATCACATAATCCTCTCTCCTCACTCACCACTTGTTAGAGCCACATGAATTTTTCATTTTCTTTCTTTTTTACTTTTTGTAAAATAATGCATGAGAGGGAAATTAATTGATGTATACCTAGCTATGAATGATTTTGTTTTCTTTCTAGAGAGATTTTTCAATAGTGAATTAGCTAGAAGTATGTTTGTGTGTAATTTTTGGCTACTTTGCCTATTTATTATAAGTGCTGCATGGATATTTTTGTGAAAAATTTACATATTATTTATATAAGAGTAGGTAGGGTAGATCAACTTGTTACATCATTATATATAAGATTGGTTGAATAGTTCAACTGATATGAACTAATATCCTTTAGTTGAGTTTGATTAAATTGTTGATTTATAGTTCAATTTTTAATTGTTATATTTTTTTAATTATATTTTTTTATAATATATTATTGTAAATGAATTAATATTTATAAATTAACAACTTTAAAAAATAAAATAAGAGAACTTGCATGTGAACTATTTTTTATATTTTAAAATCAAGGAGAAAATTCAATTAAATAAGAAGTACAAGATGTACTCTGTCCATGGTATAAAAAAATTCGAATAGGAAAAAGCAAAATACAAAATTAACTATTTACACAAAGCCTCGAATTGGGAATTTTTTTTGGAATAATAATGTATTAAAAAAAATCACAAATAACCATGTTTCAGAAAAAATTACGCAAATAATCATGTTTCAGATGACTCCCCAAAGGAGAAGCCATCTCACTTGGCGCCTACACCTACTTTTTAAGGGGAGGCGCCATCTCACTTGGCGCCTAGGTGCTTAGGGCTTGCCCTAAGCCAAGTGAGATGGCGCCTTAGTGTATTTTCTAGGGCAATTTTCGCATTTTTTTTCAATGCGGTGCGTTACGTATTCGATATAGGATCAATAAAATTGACTTTTTATTTACAAAATATGATTACACACATAAGTATTACGTAAAAAAATAGATTAATCAGTGGTCCGCCGGAACCCGGTAATGACCCTCAGTTCCGCATCCCCGTCCTCGCCTTTCCCATGTTGAGTTTCGTCGCGTTTCCTGTCGTGGCAGGGTTGATGGCCCAGCGAAGTCAATGCATTCCGGATCCATGAAATCAGTCAGATCTCCATATCTAGAAGATCCGATTTGGTACAGTCGGTTACCCATACCCTTAAAGTTTGGTCGTGTTGTCGGTGGATGGGGTTCCATGGATGATCTGTAGCATTGGTCGTCTGAGTACGGGGGGTAGAAAGGAAATGGATCTTGGGTGGTTTGGTGATATTATGGTTGATGGTAAGTTGGGTCGGTTGGTTCATAATCTTCTGACATTCCCAGATCAGGGCTAAGGTTGGATGTTGAGGGGCCCATATTGAGATATGCAGAAGACTGAAATTGTGTGTGGGGTATGCAGGTGTGTTGGTATTGTGATTGAAATTACGGTTGGGTGTGAGGCATTTGGGGGTATTGGTACTGAGGTGGTGATTGTGGTTGGTTATGGGGCATGTGGGTGTAATTGTATTGTGGTGGTGACTGTGGTTGGGTGTTTGTGGTTCTGTTTCATCTGGGGGGTTGATGTGTGTTGGGTTTGTTGTTGGGGAAATGAGGGTTGTGCCCATTGTGTTCGTGGGTCAAGCAAATACCTTAGATGAGACACGTGCATTTCAGGGGTACTAACCGATCTATACCAAGATAAATACTGATCAGTGTGTCGCATATTACAATGGTTGAGGAAAACCGGGAATTGCAAGACATGTCGGTGACGCCTGTGCCACATCTTAAACCATTATGGAGCAAAGTCTTTCCAGTTGGTAAGACCCCATTGGGCGTCGACCCTTTTGAGATGCCACAGGGACAAACAAGTCGGATCGCTGGGTATCTCTTGATGCATTCCAAACTGCATCTTCACACGGTCGCTGTGGTGCATCTCCACAACATTGAACCGTATGATTGTAGTTTTTGCGCTCCAAATTGCTGCATCCTCGGGGTTTGGTTCATGGCCCATACCCAAATATGGTCTCCAGACAAACTGCAGATAAAATTAAATTCGGTTAATGAAAACGTAATATATAAATAATTTAAAAGTAGAAAAGTTGAAAGGTACGACGTACATCATCCGGGCCAAGGTGATCCAATAGATTGCGATATAGTGCGACATTGAATCTTGGATTCTTGCCGTAATCCATACCCCTCACGCAATACCTAAAGGAAATGAAAAATATTTTATTTTTATCATATATTTGGTGAAGAGATGAATAGTAATAAATGATATAACTTGATGACTTACTTTGTTGTGTATAGGTAAACGAACGTGTTGTTGTTGACAGGGTTTAGGGACTCCATCCTCCACTAACCCCAGACTTGAAGTAAAAAAGCGCAGCCATAAAATGTACATTTTTCCTTGATTGCATTTTTACACAAGGAACTGTATAGGTGGGCTAAAATAACAGAACCCCAACTATACTTTCTAGTTTTTTCGAAGTCTCTAAGTAAATTTAAATACATAAAATTTACACTATTTCCCATACTTTCGGGAAATAAAAAGTTTCCAAATAGTATCATTATATAAGTTCTAGTTTTTATTACCTTGGCTAGCTCAGAGGAATTTTCGTTTAATTCCAGAGTCGCATAATGATTTTTTAGCTCAGTTAGTAGTATACCCCGACCTCTTGCACCACCACCATCAACCATATCCCTGCCCAATAATTCTTCACACAGAGAATTAGGTTGTTGAACCGACCCATTAACGGCCTTACCATCGACAGGGAGACCCAATAACATGTACACGTCCTCTAGCGTGATGGTACATTCACCTATTGGTAGGTGAAATGTATGGGTCTCTGGTCTCCACCTTTCCAACATTGCAAGTATGAACTTTGAATCAATTGTACAGTTGGGGATCTTTATAACGTTTCCAAAACCTGCGTATTCCAGATATGGAACGATCAATGGGTCTGGAGCAAGGTAGTTGTGTGACCGGATTCTGAATATTTTGGTATCCTAAGTTAATAATGTAAAAGGTGTAAGAGTAAGTAAGATAAACAAAGCATTACTAGAAGTATGAAAAATGTATAACTATAAAAGAAACTTACAAATGCTGCAATGTTATCCCTTGTGCCTCTGTAAGAATCGCCCATTGTGAGAAGAGTCATTGTTGAAAATTCCTAAGATTATGAAAGAGTTTGAAATTGTAAGAGATTATGAAAGAGTTTATAGCAGAGAGTGAGACGATTGTGGATGCGAGAGAAGTATGTAATTCTCTATATTTATAGGAAAAAAATTTCATAGAGTAAGTGAGGTGGTATGTGGGTGCTTGCATGCATGATAAGTGTCACTCTTGCAGAGTAGATGCAGGTAGGTGGCAGCCTTGGAGAAGACATCTCTGAATGCATGTAACACGATTAGACATGAAGGGAGGCGCCATTGGACTTGGCGAAAGAGTACAAAATTGAAAGGTGTCGCCATCCCCATTGGCGAATAAGAGGTGACAGGGGTTGCAGAGTAGGCGCAGACTAGGTGACAGTCTTAGAGAAGGTATCTCTGAATGCATGTAACACTATTGGATGTGATGGGATGAGCCTTAGAGGTTACAGTGTAGGTGTAGAGTAGGCGCAGGCTAGGTGGCAGCCTTGGAGAAGGCATATCTGAATGCATGTAACACAATTGGACATGAAGGGAGGCGCCATTGGACTTGGCGAAAGAGTACAAAATTGAAAGGTATCGCCATCCCCATTGGTGAATAAGAGGTGGCATGGTTTGCAGAGTAGGGGCAAACTAGGTGAAAACCTTGGAGAAGGCATCTCTGAATGCATGTAACACGATTAGACGTGATGGAAAGAGCCTTAGAGGTTACATTGTAGGTGCAGAGTAGGCGCAAGTTAGGTTGCAGCCTTGGAGAAGGCATCTCTGAATGCGTGTAACACGATTGGACATGAAGGGAGGCGCCATTGGACTTGGAGAAAGAGTACAAAATTGAAAGGTATCGCCATCCCCATTGGTGAATAAGAGGTGGCATGGTTTGCAGAGTAGGGGCAAGCTATGTGACAACCTTGGAGAAGGCATCTCTGAATGCATGTAACACGATTGGACATGAAGGGAGGCGCCATTGGACTAGGCGAAAGAGTACAAAATTGAAAGGTGTCGCCATCCCCATTGGCGAATAAGAGGTGGCATGGGTTGCAGAGTAGGCGCTGACTAGGTGACAACCTTGGAGAAGGTATCTCTGAATGCATGTAAAACTATTGGACGTGATGGGATGAGCCTTAGAGGTTACAGTGTAGGTACAGAGTAGGCGCGAGCTAGGTGGCAGCCTTGGAGAAGGCATCTCTAAATGCATGTAACACGATTGGACATGAAGGGAGGCGCCATTGGACTTGGTGAAAGAGTACAAAATTGAAAGGTGTCGCCATCCCCATTGGTGAATAAGAGTTGGCATGTGTTGCAGAGTAGGCACAAGCTAGGTGACAGCCTTGGAGAAGACATCTCTGAATGCATGTAACACTATTGGACGTGATGGGAGGAGCCTTAGAGGTTATAACCTTGGTTAATTCAAATTTAGTATGACCTATTTAGTCTTACATTTATCAAAACACTGATTCACTTAATCTCTCAAACACTAGAACATTCAAAAATTCCTGCAAATAACTCATAAACTTCAAACCTTCCAACCTTCAAACCTTCAAACAGTCATACACAATGGCCTCTGCACCCCAATATGTCATCAGTGCACATTTCAACGGTGAGACATACATTTGTCCCACCTCTGGGTTTCTGTTTAGAGACACAGACAACATCCGATTTTGTTTAAACAGGAAAGCCAATTTCTTGTACTTCAAAAAATGATTGGAGGCCAAACTTGGACGAGGCCCCGTGACACAAATATTTTATCAGAATCCGGTTTTTTTGGTAACAACCAAATAATATTTTGTAAGGTTGAGGTTCAAGATAACGAAGATCTTCAGAATATGTTTTCCAGTTATGAGTATTTTGGGTACGACTCTATTGAGTTATACATTATGTTGCGAGAGCCTCAGCTGTCACA